GGCAGCCAATATTTTCAATGTTGTGAGTAATGGCAGGACATCTGTCCAGTGAAATGTCTGGTTATTCTCTCTGTGTAGGCAGAGCCTCCAAGGGCACCCAAATCACTGAGACTCTGACAGGGCCCACGCCCTCTCTATCTCAACATGAACAAAGGCAAACAAAATAGTTCTCTGCCATTATAACCCACTCTAATGGCTTAAATTATACAACTAAGTGCAACTGAAAGTTAGAACAATAACGAAGACATTGTCAGTAACTGACTGACAGCTTCATCCAATCAATCAGACTTTTTACTGCTGATTTGTACAGTTACTGTATTCATTTACAACTTTTGTGCCTGGGAAAAAGGGTTTCATATTCGTGCTGTTACATTCACAGATACTGGGAAATTTAGCATTATATCACTTGTTAACCAATGGTTCCTCTACAGTGAATGGGTGCCGTCAGAATAAGAGTTCAAACAGCTGAAACATTACAATAATCCACAAAGAAAAAAAAAGAAAAAAAAACGCAGACATACAGTGGGTAAAATAAGTATTGAACACGGCACCATTTTCATCAGTAAATATATTTCTAAAGGTGCAGTAGACTTGAAATTTTCCCCAGATGTTGGTAACAACCCAAGTAATACAAAGAAGAAGAAAAACATAAGTTCAGAAATTATGTGTAATTAAATAGAATGACAGGGGGAAAGTATTGAACACGCTTACTGAAACGTATTTAATACTTCGTACAAAAGCCTTTGTTAGTAATGACAGCTTCAAGACGCCTCTTGAAACTATCTAGAAACTAGTCGCATGCATTGCTCAGGTGTGATTTTGGCCCATTCTTCCAAAGAGTCTTCACATCTTGAAGGTTCCATGGGCCTCTTCTACGAACTCTGATCTTTAGTTCTTTCCATAGATTTTCTATTGATTTCAAGTCCGGTGATTGTCTGGGCCATTCTAGCAGCTTTATTTTTTTCTCTGAAACCAATTGAGAGTTTCCTTGGCTGTGTTTGGAATCATTGTCTTGCTGAAATGTCCACTCGTTTCATCATCATCCTGGTAGATGGCAACAGATTTTTATCAAGAATGTCAATAATATGAAGTTTGCCAGTGCCATACACTCTTAAAAATAAAGGTGCTTCACGATGCCATAGAAGAACCTTTTTGTCTAAATGATTCCATAAAGAACCTTTAACATCTGAAGAACCTTTCTGTTTCACAAAAGGTTCTTTGTGGTGAAAAAAGGTTCTTCAGATTATAAAAAGGTAAGAAAGAGATGGTTCTTTAAAGAACCTTTGACTGAATGGTTCTTTGTGGAACCAAAAATGGTTCTTCTATGGCATCGCTTGAAGAACCCTTTTGAAGCACCTTTATTTTTAAGAGTGTATGCTGAAAAACAGCCCCACGCCATGATGTTCCCACCTCCAAACTTCACTGTTGGTATGGTGTTTTTGAGGTGATGTGCAGTGTCATTTGACCTCCAAACATGCAGTGTATTATGGCACCCAAAGAGTTCAATTTTGGTCTCATCTAACCAGACTATAATTCTCCCAGTATTTCACAGGCTTGTCTAAATGTTGAGCAGCAAACTTTAAATGAGCTTCAGCATGCTTTTTCTTCAGCAAAGGAGTGTTGTGTGGTGAGCGTGCATGCAGGTCACGGCGGTTGAGTGCATTACTTGTACCTACTAATTCCAGGTCTTTCTGAAGCTCTCCACAAGTGGTCCTTGGCTGTTGGACAACTCTTCTGATAATTCTTTTCACTCCTGTCAGAAATCTTGCGAGGAGCACCTGGTCGTGGCCGGTTTATGGTGAAATTAGATGTTCTTTCCACTTCCAGATTATGGCCCCAACAGTGCTCACTGGAACATTAAAAAGTTTAGAAATCCTTCTGTAACCAATGCCATCAGTGTGTTTTGCAACAATAAGGTTGCGAAGGTCTTCAGAAAGCTCTTTGCTTTTACCCATCATTAGATGTTTCTTGTGTGACACCTTGGTAACGAGAAACCTTTTTATAGGCCACCAGTTGGGACTGAATCAGCTAATATTAACTTCAACTGACTAGGGGCAGGATTGCTTTCTAATTACTGGTAGATTTCAGCTGGTGTTTTGGCTTTCCATACCTTTTTGCTCATACCTTCAATACTTCAAAACAACAAGCAACCTTTTGCTCCTCCCTTTCTTCATGTGTTCAATACTTTTTCCCTGTGTCATTCCATTTTATTACACATAGCTTAATTTCTGAATTTGTTTGTTTTGTTTTCTCTGTATGTATGGATTACTTGGGTTGTTACTGACATCTGGTGAAAATGGCATGTCAACAGCACCTTTAGAAAAATGGTGACGTGTTCAATACTTATTTTACCCATTGTATTTGTTTAGAACTGTTTTTGCTTGTAAATAGTGCTTGATCTGTGCATATTTCTCTCCTGATTCAGACATTTTCATTGGAGAAAGTAATATTATGGATTGGGGACTCATAGCCATAAGTAAAGGTTTGAAGTAAAAAATGCCTTAAGGATTGATGTGTTTATTACAAGATGTCAATTGATGGACTGGAGTCGTATTTTTATCATCTGTTTGATATCTCATTCTGACGGCACCCATTCACTACAGAGGATTCATCGATGAGCAAGTGATGTAATGCTAAATTTCCCCAAATCTGTTTACTTTTAAATGATTTAAAACACTAATTGTATTCTTTTAGTCCCATTGATATGTTGGCAAATAATTTGCAACCATAATATTGTACTCAGGCACAGTATTTCTAGTCATCCAAACAGATGGTTATATGTCAAGTATGGTGATATTTGATTTGGAATTACATCACTGATTTTTGTGAAATACGTAATATTGAATACTTCAAAACAACAAGCAACTGCATGTTCTCCATAAATTTGACTGTCAAGGTTTTATTAATGTTGCAATTTCTATTCTACTCTCACTGTCCAGTAATCTTCTTTATTATCTTTACAAGCCCCTCGAAATAAAATGCATTCAATTCAAATAAATGTATTATTACAGATTAAACCGGGCCTTGTTTCAGACCATACAGTCATCAAACACTTTTATGATGACCTCTTCCTCTCTTAAATCCAAAAGCCCTGACTTAAGAAAATGCAGCTCTAGCAACTCCCCCCCCCTCTCCAGTATGCACTGAGACTTTAGGACAGGGACTTTATCTTTCATGCAGCCAGCGTGATTGATGGCACAATAGCAGCTCAATGAAAACAAATCCACAGACACTTTTCAGGCTGTCGCTGGAACACAAACCTGAAGCAGCAACAGAAGGACACGGCGGCACGGCGGAGCCCAGCGCTGACAGCCTATGATAAAGCGGCCTTCCTTAACTAAACTCGTAAAGCACGGGACAATAAAACTCAATCTACTGTAAAATCCAATTAAGTCATTATCTGACTGATTGTATCTTTAATTGAAAACAGAAGTGACAGTAAATTTCTGTGATATATCAGGATCAATCGATACTGCTGTACAATCTGCTCTCCAGAAGTGATTTATAATGCCGAAGCCATATAGGTAACTCCACATTCTTCTCACTAAAACCACTGAGGGATGAAATTAAGAGTAAGTGCATTTAATAAAAAAAAACAAAAAAAACACAAGATGGTCAGGTTATTGATTACAGCAGATGGGGCAGAATCAAATGAATGTTTTCAGGGTGCAGAGCAAAGAAAATACAAGTAATTTTAATTTCAGATTTTTTATCATGCGCTCTCAACAGGCATGCCTTGTGAAAGTCGGTCATCAAGAATGATTTTATTTCCACTGAACATGAGACCATACAAACACACAACCACTGCAAATTAGCTCGTGTATTGTTTTATAATCATAACAATAATACAAATATTTGTAACATCATGGTGTCAGTGAAAAAGAGCTCACCACATCATGAGCAAAATACATTGTGTACACAAAACCTGCGTCTGGAAAACAAATGAACAAATGAATCAAACTGTGAACTGTAAGTCTAACAATTGTACAAAATCTCCAAATCGAAACTGTTTGACTGTTTAATATTAGAATATACAGTATGCATATTCCTACAAGATTTTACATTAATTTTTTAGAAAAAGGCTATTAATTTAAGTCTCTGTTAGCTACTTATTAATACTGAGCGCTGTGTAAGTGCAAAACAAATACAGATGCAAGCATCTTAAATGGCCCTCCACTATAATAAAAAATACAATGTAAAAATTTGATTACACTGAGAAATTTCCAAAATGCATTTAACATGGATATGGCTAATTTCTATCAGACCAGAAAAATGTCATCATTTGTAGTTAAACATGCCGTCATAACAAATACGTCTGCAACAAACCGAGCATAAAAGGATAGACAAAGTTTTGTGTCCCTCTTCTCCTTTACCATTTATTCGTGACTTGACTGAGGACACCATCTGTGCCAACACCATTAAAATCAAGGGCACAGCTTCATATTTTACAAAGAAAGCACAGAAGAGTACTGAACATTAGCCGGATCCTGCATAGAAACAGGGTAGAAGCAAATCATCAAAAGTGAAATGATGTTCTTTAGTGATGGCCATAAATAAACAAGCCGTTCACTGTGAGATTGAAGCATAATTTAATAGTATCTCTTCTAACTCAACTCAATGGAGATGCTGGAGAAGAGCTCATACACTTTGCATCTTGAAGGTCATGGGAAGAAGTTAGATTGTCCATTAGGCCAATGACAGCAATACTGAGCTTCAACTGATATGTGACAATCAATCGTTGTGCTCTGCTTTTTCTTTTGCTATTATAAAAGAGTGGAAATGAATCATTCTAATCTTTAAAAACTGCAGCATTAAAAGTAAACAAACTGAAGCTATCAAACAGTATGAAACATAGCCAGCCTTGAAAACTGTATTTCTGATCATTGAGAAACTAAGAGTAAAACAACCCATGTCTATGAAAACCTTAAAAAGTTGAAAAACACCACAATGATCAACCTGATCAGTACTAACTACAAACTGTTGAACAATAAGATAGGGTTTGCTTTCAAAATCATAATACTTTTAGCTAAAATACAGAAACAATTCAATTCGATGGGAGATTGGTGCAGGTGAGGGTTTTTCATTTGGTTGGCCCCTCGACGATGGAGTCGACAGAGAAGGTTCCAGACTCTGAGCTGCTCTCACACTCCAGCTTGTTCTCAGGGTTGATCATTGAGCTGATGGACACTGCGTCTTGAGCTCCATCAGAGAAAACTGAAATGAGATGGATCATGACACAAACTATTTTTTTGTGTTTAGACTTTTTGTGCCAGAGCATAATCTGATTATAGCATCTGTGATACATGAAACCTGAAGCATGCATGTAACACGAGCGTTTTGGTTCCTGACATCTTCACATTTACTGAAAGTACAATGGTGCCAAAGAGTATTTGGACACTTAAACCTCACATAATGTTTGAATGTCTTTGGATTAGAAACAAAATATCAAGCCAAGCAGCATTTATCTGAATGTTAAAGTTTAAACAACAATAAACAATAGACACAATAGAACAACAAGCACAATACACCTGTGCTTACTCTGACAGGAAACTAGTGTGAACTTGAGGGCAAAGCTGCATTTATTTGATTGAAACCGTAATATTGCTAAATTATTACAATTGAATGTATTTTAATATACTAAGTAACAATATATTACTGCGATGGCTGAATTGTCAGCAGCCAATACTCATATGCTGATTTAATGTTCAATAAACAACATTACGCTCAACATTATAATTGAAAATAGTTGTGCTGCTTAATATTTTGTGGAAAATGTTCTCAATTCTTCAACAAAAATAAAATTCAGAAGAACAGCTTTTATTTTGAACAAAAATCTTTTATAGCAATGTATAAGTCTTTACTGTCACTTTTGATCAATTTAATGCATCCATGCTGAATAAATGTACTAATTGCTTTAAAACAAACCTTACAAACCCCACATTTTTGCACTGTAATGTACATCCAATATCAACTATTTTGAAAGCAGATGGTTAAAATAATTGTAAAAATGGCTCAGAAATTATACATATATTTAAGTCTCCAAACATGTTGGGAGCCATTGTATTTAAAAGCTACTTTTATCAGCTTAAAAGTTACCATTTTGAATTCTGCCAACAAAAAATATCTGAAAAAGCTGAATCTTTGATCAGAACACAATGTTAGTGTAGAAAGAGTAATGTTGAAGCATTTCTTATCTTGAGATTATCAGCTTCTCCAGTTAAACCAAACAGCATCAATTAACTGTATGAGCAGTGCTGTCAGCTCTCCACATGACAACAGAGTAAAGACAGTGCTGCCTTTTAGGAATCACACACTGCAGTGTTCTGGCTACTTTAGCAAACTCACTCAAGCTGAAGATATGCGTATTGAGCAAGACCGACTGCTGCGTGAGCACACGGATATTGAGCAAATAGCGCAGGAAAGGCTGTACTGTCCTGACTTTCTCATGTGCCGGTGTGCACAACGAAAAACAGCATCGTATTAATGTAAATATAAAATACACATACACTCTGGCTGGCATTAAATAAACGTTGATAGTTACTGGGTTACACTGGATTACAATCATCTGCTTAAATAAATGACTATGTAAATGTAAAACCGAAACACTAGCAGCATAAACGTTATAGTTCCCTATAAAAAAGCATGGTGGTTTGTGCATTGAGCCAGGTCACCGCTCATCTCAGTATGCATATGATTCTAATACATTACAGTCTCTACCGAGTCTATCAAAGCTACGAGTGTCAGGGGGGCGACACTCGCAAATCCTGTTCATGTGCTTTCCTGACCTTCATAACCTGACTGTGCCTATCATCCCTTCCTGCCCTCCCTCTTTTTCATCTGCCTCTCCTTCTCTGCGCTGCTCTGGCGTGGAGGTAATTAAGGGGTGCTGGCGAAAAGGAGTAATTTTTCTCCTCATTAACTTCCTGATTGGTTTCAGGCTACAAACTTTGCGCTCCGCCCGCAGTTTGTCACCAATTCCAAACTGGCCAATCGTTAATACTAATGTTTGTGTAGCTAAACTGCGCTGGCGCTCTCTGTACAACAATAATACATGGAGTGAGGGGAGAAAGAGGAGGGGCTGGAATTAGCCGTGGCTGTGTTAATTCTGAGGGAGTTCATCAGGGGGAAATCTATGGTGTAATTAAAGGGAAGATCTCGCGGGTGAGTGGACAGGTCGTTTGTAGGGACGGTAAATCAGCTGTGGGGCTGCTTGGCAAGCGGACATGTTCTGTGTCATGGCTTCGTTGCCTTTGATTATCATTGCATTAGCGCTTAATATAAAAACTAAAGTCAGATCGGCCATAAACACTCTGTAATACAGACAATCAGGCCTTTAAATATGCAGATAAAACCAAATAATAATGAAACAAGTAAATGGATTTCCTTGACTTGTAAATACAGCATATTCATTATTGTATTATGACTTTGAAGAAATATCTCTCAAACTAATTTATTTTTTGACACCATCCTGCTGAAAAATAAATAAATAAAATAAACAGGCTAACCTAGTTTGCTGGTCTCTCAGGATGGTTTTTAGAGGGGTTTTAGGTACTTTACAGCTGGCCGCTTAGACCATTTTAAACCAGCTAAAACCAGCTTCAACTTAAGTGTTTCAGCAGGGAATATATTCAATAAAAATAACAGTTATTATAAAACCTCCACAAAGTTGCCAAACAAGACATTTTCTACACATTGGCAGTAACACAAGAATTACCAAAAAATAAATAAAAATCACGTCTGTCAAGTCTAAACAGTATTGAAACAAGAGAGGATTTACTTTTATGTACGCCCAAAAAGAGCTTATTCTCCCATCTGAACTTTTGCCCTATTCACCCATGTTCGACTGACTATCTTAGATTTCCAAACTATTAAACAGTCTTTGTGTAGTTTAACAAAAGGAAGCTTTTTTAAAAAAAGAAAAAGAAAAAAAAAAAGAGCATGAAAAGGGGAGGGGAAACAGTGAAAGAAACTCAATCATTTCTGGCAGTTTGGAAAAAGTGAACAAAAGCCCAGATGTGAGAGAAGATGGTAATTCAGGGTTGATCTGTTGTGGATAAGCTCTTTCCTCTGCAACTCATATACTGCCAGCGCTGGGCCATGAGGGTCCATAATGCCTGCACTTAGATAAACACACAGAGTTGCACAGAGATAACACACACAGGCGCACACACACAGGCGCTCACACACACACACACACACAGGCATACATACATGCTCAAACGTGTATAAAGATGCACCCATACACACGTGCTTACAGTGATTAAAAATTTAAATAATAGTTCACTGTATCATTCTAAAACTCAGTTGTATCAGTATGAAAATAAGTCTAAACTGAGAGTTAAGATATTATAGGCTAATATTAGCAGTAGGTAGGTAGTTGCCATAATGCCATATCAGCAGCTAAGGCTATTTTGCATCTTGCACCAATTACGTAACAGATGTATAAATACAACACAATAAAAAACACAAAAGGTGTTTAAAATTCAAAAACAACTTCTGGATCATTAAACAAGTTCTAAAGAAAACTTACTATAGAAAAAATGTCAACTACTTGTATTAAAAGCAAAGTTGTCCAACAAGACATGTTTAAGATAAAAGGGGGGCTGATATTAGAGACTTTTTAATTTAGCAATATTATTAGATATTGGATATTTAAATGAACATATGCTCATTCATTCATACTCTTGCATTTTACAATTAATTGTTTAAAAACGCTAATAACAGACTGTTAAAGTTAATCTTTAGGCAATCTAAATCTTTCATACTGCAAACATCAAATATTATGATGAATATAAACCAACTGACTTTAGTTTTTTCTTATTTTGACAAAATAGTATAGAAGTGTAATAGCAGTCATTTAGCGGTTAATAGCCATAAAGTTATCATTTTTTTGGTGAGAAATGTAATAACAATGGCATAAGTAACCATTTGCCATTCACATGAACCAAACCCCTAACCTTGCCTGGTGGACTTGGGTGTGCTTCATTCGTGCGTTCTCAAATTTGGAAAACCACTTTTATAATAACCTAACAGACCAAACTCTGGTTGGCACCAAAAGCTATGAGCACTCTCAGAAACAAACACTCACATCTGTATGACATGACTTGGCTGAAGATGTGCTGGAGGGAGATGGAGCTCCCTCAAGGAATGACATGCACGTCTCTCTCAATCATTAGAGTCGTGGCAGGACTTAATGGCGCAGAAAACACAGGCCTACAGCAAGGCAGCGGCACTTTAAACAGCTGCGGACTCCTCAAAGAGTGAAGAGCCGTGGCTGCTGCAGAGACGGATGTTGTTCTTGGAGTGGAGCTCTCACTCATAATCACATTGGCACTGGAGTTTGAAGCACTCAAGGGAGGTGAACGCCAAGGCATTTAACACTTAATGACAAATAAAATTCAAATTTATGTATATTTCAGAGGACCTTCAGATTATTTTTTATACTGATGAACTGATCAGTGTGCACTGTGTATTAGATAATGCAACTCAATAAAAAAAAGGTGATATATAGGTGGCACATCTATAGTATTATAACGAAATCCAACTAGATTTTGAAGAAAATGCAAGTGGTGTAGCTGTTTTATTTATCTTATTCATACAGATAAAAAGAGAGAAATCTATCATGTAAATGTTTCTTGTGTGAACTTTATTAAAGAGTCCTGAAAAGAAAAACGGTTTCTGAAAAATATTAAGCAACACAACTGTTTTTCATACTAATCTTTCTTGAGTAGAATACCAAATCGATTAATGAAAGATCATGTAACACTGAAGACTGGAGTTATGGCTGCTGAAAATTCAGCTCACATGTGAGTACATCGGACACTTTAGTCCCCATTATCGGTCTATTAGAGATCTGCATGAGTGGCCTGCAACGTCTGACAGGAGGCATCATGCCAGGGTCAGAGGCTAATTAAACACATAAGCACCTCAAGACCTGTATTGTTCCCCAATCTGTCCCCAGACTCAAAGTGTCTCTGAGAGAATTGGCAGGCCCTCCTCCCTGTTAAATCACTGGCACTGATACAGTGCTCTGCCGTCCCTGTAAAATGACCTGTCCGTCTCTCCCGGCCTGCGCTCTGTTCCGTCGAAACATTATGGATATACTATAATGACTTGAGACATAGGATCGATGATTTGAGGGATTTTGTGTCATTATCTTTAAAGGAGAGAAAATAATGACAAGTGCAGAATAAGCGTTGCAGGCATCAGTTAGC